ATAAATCGTTAACTCTATAATTTTGTGTCTAAAGTAAAGCAATTTTAGAGCTGTAGTTTATTACGGTTACCTCATCATCATAACTATGTGTCTAAAGTAAAGCAATTTTAGAACTGTTTACGGTTACCATGACGTCATAGAGCCCGGGTATAACGTGACGCACAATCAGTTAGCGTCATAATAAGTGCATTTTATCCATGGTTGGCAGTAATATTGCATGGTTAGACATTTGCATTCGCAATGTTGAGAGATCCTGGTAGGGCCTGTCGTGATATCATGGATCGCTTAGGTTCCACCAGGATCTGGTAGTCGCCATGATTCTGCGGCCTCTATGTGTCGTCATCTCGCACAACTCCGAAAAACCGTTGTGAGTTTGGCATGTGAAAATTTGCAGCCTTCCAGACATCGATTGGGTTAACGAGTTGTCGTACGTCACCTCAAGATCGGGTGACAGGGGGCTGACCAGGCCAGAACCCAATTGATTGGGTCTGAGGTCACGTGATTATGAGCCTGAGGTCACGTGATTATGAGCCTGAGGTCACGTGATTATGATCCTGAGGTCACGTGACTATGAGCCTGAGGTCACGTGACTATGAGCCTGAGGTCACGTGACTATGAGCCTGAGGTCACGTGACTATGAGCCTGAGGTCACGTGACTATGAGCCTGAGGTCACGTGACTATGAGCCTGAGGTCACGTGACTATGAGCCTGAGGTCACGTGACTATGAGCCTGAGGTCACGTGACTATGAGCCTGAGGTCACGTGACTATGAGCCTGAGGTCACGTGACTATGAGCCTGAGGTCACGTGACTATGAGCCTGAGGTCACGTGACTATGAGCCTGAGGTCACGTGACTATGAGCCTGAGGTCACGTGACTATGAGCCTGAGGTCACGTGACTATGAGCCTGAGGTCACGTGACTATGAGCCTGAGGTCACGTGACTATGAGCCTGAGGTCACGTGACTACTTTTTTCTATCATGATTGTCAGGATCTCAGATCCTGACAATCATGATAGAAAAGGTGCACATCTGGTTACTCTCGTGCTAATTTCCTACAACTACCCTATTTTTGCGGGTCACCGAAACATTACTTTTTCAAAACATTGTACATAGCCTGTAACTCTCACTATAATTATCAAATAAATAATATTTGAAAGATGCGTGGCACGAGATTATGCACCTGTTTCAGACTGGGTATTATGGAGTAGCCTAGTAAAGTAGAAACCAGCCTAGTGACCAGTAGATTCAGTACACTAATATGGGACATTTGATAATCGGTTAATAATCGCTTATGTTGCTGTTGTGGAAACTTAAGTTTGCCTAGATGTAAAATAAAACATAGAGCGCCCCTTTTTAGTTGGAGTGAGCACCTCATTAAGCAGACAACTTTTTAAATTGTGGAAGATTTCAATTATTATTTTAAAGCCCTTTTCGAATGAGAAGAAATCACTGTTTATAAGAAAAAATCGTTAGTTTAATTTTAGAATCGCAAATCATATGACTGTTGAAAATCTGGCTGCTGAAAATCTCCTTTTATAGTTCAGTCAAAAATATAAAGAATTCCGGTTCTTTTGCGATAGTCAAAACGCGACAACTAGCGCTGGATGGCGACAACTAGCGCTATCCAGCGCTAGTTGTCGCCATCCAGCGCTAGTTGTCGCTATCCAGCGCTGGATAACGCTGGCCAGCGCAAAATATATATGTTCGATAATTGTCGCTATCCAGCGCTAGTTGTCGCCATCCAGCGCTAGTTGTCGCCATCCAGCGCTAGTTGTCGCTATCCAGCGCTAGTTGTCGCTGGCTATGCGACACTGTCGCACGCGATAGTTTGCGATGGCCAGCGCAACTGGCCATCGCAGAAAACAGTTCGATAACTAGCGCTGGATAGCGACAACTAGCGCTGGCCAGCGATAACTAGCGCTGGCCAGCGCTGGCCAGCGCTAAGCGATAGCCAGCGCTGGCCATCGATATCCAGCGCAAAATTTTTGCGCTATTACTCGTCAGCTAGCGCTGGCCAGCGCTAGTTGTCGCTATCCAGCGCTAGTTATCGAACTGTTTTCTGCGATGGCCAGTTGCGCTGGCCATCGCAAACTATCGCGTGCGAGCAGTGTCGCATAGCCAGCGACAACTAGCGCTGGATAGCGACAACTAGCGCTGGATGGCGACAACTAGCGCTGGATGGCGACAACTAGCGCTGGATAGCGACAATTATCGAACATATATATTTTGCGCTGGCCAGCGTTATCCAGCGCTGGATAGCGACAACTAGCGCTGGATGGCGACAACTAGCGCTGGATAGCGCTAGTTGTCGCCATCCAGCGCTAGTTGTCGCGTTTTGACTATCGCAAAAGAACCAGAATTCCATTTCTATAGATTGATCGCCACAATCATAATGAAATATTACTAGTTTATTCAATTTCTAGTTTCTAACACTCTGTTCGGAATAGTTCAGACTTGCTTTAACGTTATTCTGGCTGCCTTCTTTAAGATCCTCGCCGTAAAATTGAAATGTCAGTCAGTACCTACAGATCCCTACAGATCGCTGCAATAAATAGCTCTATATGTATATAAGTGATATTAGCACTATCGGTGAGATTAGCACCTGCAAGTCCTTACACTTTCACCCAGATGGTAGGTTAGTCGTTAGTTATACTAAAACTTATATAACAAGTTCTACTGACACGTTGTATTAACACATATGTGCCGAGAATACAACGATAATTTTCGAGTATTTCTGTCATTTTGATGGGGCTGGTTAAAGATGGTTCTGTCTGCTGAGGAAACCAACTTTATTACTTTATTACTTTTTAATGTGTTTCTTCTGACTTACTTACTTGTACTTGAAAAGATCTCCTCCTAGTCGTTGGAGTGGCCTGCACCACACAGTATTTATACTGTGTTTATACTGTGTTTATAAAGAGTTTATAAACTCTTTCTTACTGTGTATTTTTTTATGAGACCTCTCTAGTGTACCCTGATTGTAATGAGGTGAGAATATCCAACTATTATCTGCGTTGGATACCAAAGCATAACTAAAGTGTTTTAGGCAGGCCTCCTGTTTCCTTGAGGATGCGGCTCTTTTCACAAGTGTAATACTATAATACTAGTGTATATTTAGTGAATAATATCACAATGGAGGCTAGCTGAGCATCAAGCAACAAGAGGTACATTTCATCTGAAGCACTTTAATGCTTATGAGGTATAATTGCTTATTCAATTTCTTGTGCTCTTAAATTCTCAGGAGAAAGTTTTCTGAAGATTAGATTAAATGTCGCTTTATTTGATTTGTAATTTTACTATTTTAGCTAATGATTCCGTTGGATAACATTATAACACATATCTTAACTCCTCCTCGGTTAACTTGATCGAGATGGTTACATGAGTACCTGACCATTTCAGCGAGGCCTCGGGCGAAGAAATTATGGAATACACTTTTCTCTTGCCTAATAGTAATTGTAAATGATTTTGTACCTTCGGCTCAATTAACTACTTTTATCTCCTCAATAATAGTGAAAACTCCGTCTATTCGTCCGTTTGTAATTTTCGGGTTACACTAGTACATAAATATGATTAAAGAATTGAGAGTAGTTTCAAATTTTGCAGGACCACTTGTATTGACGCACAGTAACTTGATTAAAAGGTTGGTTAAATAATAAATACACGTTTAGAATGGTTTTAATGAACACATCGACTCGTTGGTGGATTAATACCCAATTAGGTGATTTAATACCTAAATAAGCAAATAGTTGATTTAATACTTTAATACTTGAATACGTTATGGTTTTTTAATTTCTCCTTTGTCTTACTTCCTTTCCTCTGCAGAGCTTAATAAAAACAGTTTTAATGCGTTCGAGACAACTACGTAACAATTAATTTACCAGTTGCTAGGTAACCAGGTACCGCGGTTATCTGAAATGTTGCCGAATTTTACTGTACTTGGTGATTCCTTGCCTTTTCTCTCCCTTGCTAGAGTTCAGCTTCGTGTTGTAAAGTATTGAGGAACAGATCAAAATATGATAAGCCGGAAATCTTTATAAATATCGTACGTTTTACCTGCAATCAATAATTTATTCTTGTAATCAATCCTTTATCAATCATGACGTGAAACCAGCATTTAGTTTTAACAAATTACAAGTTAATGATGCTGATTTAAACGGCAATTTAATTGCACAATTTGTCGGTAGAACCCTGCCGGAGCTGTGCTTTTTCTGTGGGGGTTACGCGAGTTCCCACCCTACGTTATTTCTCCGTTACCAACATCTTAAATAGCTGATCGATAAATGTTATTCATATTTTTATTTCCAGCTCTAGGTGGCCAGCATTCAGTGGCCAAGATTAAGTTTTAAGATAATTTAGGCACCAACTTGAGGCAACGCAAGCAAATAAACACCTTGCCCAAGCTGTGCCATTGTCCACTAGTATGTCATGCGAACAGGAAGAAGACCGCTCATGATGGATATTGATCTAACAATTTCTTCTATGAAGGTTATTTTGTGAAATTAGATCGTGTCGACAGGTTTCACTGATCAATAGTCTTCATGAAAGGGGTTTGTTAGATCGATAACCATCTTGTGAGATACCTTCTAGTGGACAATGACACAGCTTGGCCAAGGTGTTTATTTACTTGCAAAGCGTTGTCAAGCTGGCCATCCTCCGATATATTTTACTTAATTGTAAATATATTTGTTTTACTTGATAAGTCGGTTATCAACTGGCGAGTGGTTTTTTATTGTGTTTAACCTGGCAGTTCTGGGGGTTTAATTCGCCCTCTTTTTATTTCTTATTGATGTCTCTTTCTCATACATTACTTCTACCGAAGTTTCCGTTATAGAGAACACTTTCTTGGACATTTAAAAAATTGTTCATGTCGACTATTTCCACATTATGAAGACTTCCGATCGAAGATTTTCAACAACCTGTTGAATATTTGATTCTTCGGACAAAAACATTTGAAAAGAAATCGTCAACACTTATTAACCATTCATATTTACATAGCAAGGAAGAACAAAATGGGTATACTAAGCAGTCCAGCCGATATCATGGAAGAACCTCCTACACTTTACCCTTCTTTGGAAACCTTCTTTGGAGGTTTGCAACAACAGTTATTATAACCAAGTAACCAGGTAACCAGGTAACCAGGTAACCAGGTAAACTGGTAACCAGGTAAACCGGTAACCAGGTAACCAGGTAAACCGGTAACCAGGTAAACCGGTAACCAGGTAAACCGGTAACCAGGTAAACCGGTAACCAGGTAAACCGGTAACCAGGTAAACCGGTAACCAGGTAAACCGGTAACCAGGTAAACCGGTAACCAGGTAAACCGGTAACCAGGTAAACCGGTAACCAGGTAAACAGGTAACCAGGTAAACCGGTAACCAGGTAAACCGGTAACCAGGTAAACCGGTAACCAGGTAAACCGGTAACCAGGTAAACCGGTAACCAGGTAAACCGGTAACCAGGTAAACCGGTAACCAGGTAAACCGGTAACCAGGTAAACCGGTAACCAGGTGAACCGGTAACCAGGTAAACCGGTAACCAGGTAACCAGGTAACCAGATTAGCAACAACAGTTATTTTATATTCGGTGGTTTGCCTGCTACTTTTTACACGAGATTTAGATTATTATGCAAATTTGAATGTGGATATTTCCTCTGATAGCTTTATATTTCAGTGGTGTTATGCTGCGTGTTCGTGGTAGCTATTATAGGGAACACCCTTACATTCTTAGTGGTTACGAAGATGAACAGCTGGACCAACTCTGCTACACTGTTCATCACTCATCTGGGTCTGGTTGATATCCTCAACTCTCTCGTCATCACACCCTTCAGGTAACCAGGTGATCAGCCATCAGGTAACCAGGTAACCAGGTAACCAGGTAACTAGGTGATCAGGTAACCAGGTAACCAGGTAACCAGGTAACCAGGTAACCAGGTAACCACATGTCATCACGTCTAAAAAGTTTATTATATTATTCATTAGACTCTTTTCTATTTTAACTACTTTCAGGTATTTCCTGACTTTTGACGATCTTAAAAACATCAGTCGTTTTAAATCAACTTGTTCATTATTAAATTCATTGTATTTTCTAGTGCGGTAGCTCTGTTTACTGGAAGAAATTCAACAATCTACAGTCCTGACAATCTACATGGGGTAAACAGATTTGCTGATATGTTAACACACATTGACAAGCACTGAATCATAAGATTTTTTTTGAGTGGGAAATATCATAGCATTTTCGTTGATATTTAATCCAAGATGTTCAGCATAAATAAATATAAATTGTTAATTAAACAAAAAACCATCCTCAGGTAAAATACCAGTGGCTCTGTGACATAAACGGGTTCATGTTTATACTAATCAGAGTTCTAGTGCCCCTCACTAACCTCAACATTGCCATCGACAGGACCATCGCCGTTACCCTGCCCCTTAAATACAACCTCATCATGAACCGAGTGTCTGTGGTAAGTCCTCTATAACCTGGTTATCAGGTAACCAGGTAACCAGGTAACCATGGTTACCCTGCCCCTTAAATACAACCTGATCATGAACGGAGTGTCTGTGGTAAGTCCTCTATAACCTGGTTACCAGGTAACCATGTAACCAGTTACCCTGCCCCTAGCCCCTTAAATACAACCTGATCATGAACCGAGACTCTGTGGTAAGTCCTCTATAACTTGGTTACATAGTTTCTATTTCGGGTGATCACGTCAATCACCGGTAATTGATATGATCAATGTCATGATGGAATAATAACCATACTAAGTAGCAGTAACCGTAGTTACCATATATGTTTATATCATGTTTTGACCATATATAGAAGTTAAAATTTGTTTTTTTAAATCCATAATCAAGGGAACATATGTTTCAGATGTGCATCCTCGGGTGCGACTGGCTGATAGCCCTCTGCTTTGCCTCGGCCACCATTTTCATAAACCGTCACCTCGTCTCGGCAGACAACGCGGCAGAGTCATTCTTCATGTATAATGACTACACAACTCTCTGTTCCCCCGCAATGACTGTAGATTACCACTATTTTACATTCCAAACTTGTCTATCAGGTAAATTTATTTGTTTTTTGAAAATTTTGCTTACAATGTAGGAACTGTTCTTACATTTGAATAATTTATTAATCATGTGATGACGTCTAGACTAACATGTTGAACTCTTTCTGCTCTCATTAGTTGATCTGTTAATTGGTGAAGAAATAGTGCACATAGTGTTGTAACGTGACTTTATCGGTCACTCCTGCAAAACAAACTTGCTCCGGTTAGATTGTCTAGACTACAGTTAATCGAGATTGCGATTTAATAATTTAAGGCATTTATTTCTTTAACCAAATAACCTCCCTCAGTGTCGACGGTTATAGTACCTTTCATTGCGATATTATTCTTGTCCATGATAGTCATCATCCTTCTCAACCTCAAAGAAGGCATGAGGAGTCCAAGGTACAAAAGATAAAACGATTTTTAATTCAAATAAATCCTTTTTTGCCTCAAAGTGTAGCGGCTTGTGAGGAAAAATAAAATTCAGTTCGATATTTATTGTCTGAAAATGGGATCTTTAAAAACTGTCCCAATTATTTATACTCAGACATATGCAATATATTAGAGACATATCGTAAATTTAAATGACATCGTTTATATTGATATATTTAGCTTTCAGAATAACCGGTCCCGATCACCAAACCTATTATAACAATTGCCAACCTGTCGGTTACTTAACCTGTCATTTATCATGATTTGACAAATCATTAAACATTTGAATCAGAAGGAGCACTTATGTTTGCGGCGGTTACAGAGTTTTCCATTTATGATATTTCTATCATAAAATGACTACATCATTCTAAGAACACTGTCACAAACAAAACAATCACCCCAGGGATATCATCAACAACATATGTGGTAAAACGTCAGTTAAACCAAACGAAGGTCGTCCGGATGCCAGGTCGGATAAGAGGACAAAGAGAACGAGGAAGGCTACCCACACTCTACTGATCGTGGTGTTCCTTTACCTGATATTCTGGTTACCTTATGTGGTGCTTTGGGTCTTTGATGTTTCCCATGTAGTGAGTATATTGTTAACTAATGTAACCAGGTAACTATGTAACCATGTAACTATGTAACTTTTTCACCAGGTAACTAGGTTACCAGGTTCTCAGGTAACCAGGTAACCAGGTTACTAAGTAACACATTTCTCTCCCTACAGTGGATGTCAGAAACTGCACAGACGTATTTAGTAACAGTAGCAACCCTATTCATAATCTGTAACAGTGCTACAAATCCACTCGTTTTTATTATCAGGTCAGAATTTCTAAATATTAATCTTTATTTAGATTGTGTTTTTTTTAGCAATCTTCCGGAACAGCAGTCTTTTTCGCACATTTTTTCGTAGGTTATGTAGAAGTAGTTAATATACTGAGCTTAAACGAGGCAAGTCAGAAGTTTCATAATGCTTAGTTTTGATATCAATTCATATGTTAACGTTCTCCAGGTCCAAGAAGTACCGCTCAGTTATTTGTAACCGACCTATTTCTAGATCGGAGAAGTACCGTTCAGTTATTTGTAAGTCAGCGGGAGATGTGAAACAGCGAATGAACACCGTCAAGTGAGTCTAAAGTTGATTTTTCTATCATCACAATTCATTTATAGACTTATAGATTATGCTTGTTTCATTACAATAAAAAACTTCTAATGTTTATTTTATTCCTCTATTTTGTTCTCCGACTAATCGAAGTTTGAAGGGGTTTGTTTAAATGTTTGAACGCAATATCATAATGCAGAGAATTGTTTAATCTATTCGCATACTATGGGCCGTTCAGTTGAAACGGGAAGATCAAGATCACACTAATAATTAAAGATACAAAAGTAGATTAACTTATTGAGCACCTTGATAAATATTATTCGTTTCAAAAATGTAATATTTGTCGGACAGAAACCTGCATGGGAAACAATTAACCAAAAAAATAGGTAAAACTTTTATCATCTTACACAGAGTAACATTGATCATGACTGATGAACCCAATTCCAACAAAACACGATTATTCATGAAAAGTCAATGGCATCAATTCACTGCAACATTAAACCTCTGTCTTCTGTTGAACATAACCTCACTGTTAAAGTAAACAAATGTACCTCACCTCCCCACGAGAATCCTCAACTATATCCACATCATTCACTGCAACATTAAACCAACAAATAGCCACTTTTAAGTATTGCATATTAAACATATTAAACATATTTAAGTAAAGTATCATGAGCTGTTAATGCTAGATAAGAAGTGACACACAGTCTTTATAGATCGTGTCAGTGTCTCAGTCCTGTTCATGTTAATCAAGTCTTCCCTGGTATTCCTAAAGTTGCGCTCACACGGTTCAGGTACATACCCGCATTTGTGTGCTAATTGTCACAACAACTGTGCATATGTTAATGTCGCCTTACCTATCTTAGACGGGGATTCGGTATTCGATGAATGGGTATTCGGTTACCATGTAAACCGAATACTACTGCATATCGAATAGTCGATGATTCGGTAACCTTAGCTTTCGTATACTGCTGTCATTGAAGACCACAAATATATCATGATATGTTTACAAAAGACCTCCAGGCAATAAATATTTGCATATTCGCATATTGTAATATTTGCATATTTGCATATTTGTATTCAACTCAATATACCACTTGTATCTTTGTTAACAGCTGGTTTCTCTCAAAATGTTAAAGTTGTTTTGCACAGGCTCCAAGCTGCAAATGTTCATTTCTTCCAGACAATCCAAAGAAATAATAATTGACATTAAACTTTTCATTAACTTCAACATGTGCAATAACAAAAATCCTATAATCAGTTATTGACGTTTTTATTGTTGATGGTGCTACTCACTTTCAGAAATAGTTAACATGGGTACTATCATTTACTAATAGGTATCTGTAGGAAGGGTCTCAGTATAAACTCAGTCATACGGAATAACTTGAATTAGTTATTAAACAAGTTAGTTAAAGCTCGGTCATACGGAATAACTTGAATCAGTTATTAAACAAGTTAGTTAAAGCTCAGTAATACGGAATAACTTGAATTAGTTATTAAACAAGTTAGTTAAAGCTCAGTAATACGGAATAACTTGAATTAGTTATTAAACAAGTTAGTTAAAGCTCGGTCATACGGAATAACTTGAATCAGTTATTAAACAAGTTAGTTAAAGCTCAGTAATACGGAATAACTTGAATTAGTTATTAAACAAGTTAGTTAAAGCTCAGTAATACGGAATAACTTGAATTAGTTATTAAACAAGTTAGTTAAAGCTCGGTCATACGGAATAACTTGAATCAGTTATTAAACAAGTTAGTTAAACTTGGCAAACTGTCACAGGACACCATCCGATGTTTCCAATTCTTTACTGGAGAAGCCTGCCACTGCTCCTTATTGGAAGATGTAGGTTGCAACACTTAGCCACACTTTTCTTGCTATCATACTGATAGAGACCACACCGACTAATGCGGACAAATTCTGTAAATCTCTAACGTATATGTGTCATCATGGGTAAATTTAAAGGTTGGTTAAAAAGAATGTTGATTGTTCACCACCGTATTTGGTCGATACAACTTTGGTACTTTCATTTGGCTAAGTGCAGGTTAACTGAAGGAGAAAACTCACAACTTGTATAGTTGTATTGACCAAATATGGTGTGGTCTTCATACCGACAATTCTACCGACCAGTAAACACACATATACGTAATCCTTCTTTCTGTTTCTGTGCTAACAAAGCTGTGATTCTACAAATATGGTGCTAAACTTGCATCTTTTACCTTCTAGTTAGTGATGCTTTCTGTTAAGGGGTTTTCTTTAGTGCAGTATCTGTCTTGGCTGTTCTTTGTTTCCTTATTACAGCTATTTTATTGTTTTTATCACAAAAGTTACAAATCAACTATAAAAGATTAGATTATCTTTAAAGATGTTGCTTAATAGTAACGGATGCTTGCAAAATTTCAATATTCATGCTTACCGTAATATTACAATAAGTTGCCTAGTTTCAACCTTCAAATAATACAGTATAAGTTACTACACTTTTAGCACTAATTTACTAGGTAACCTAATTACCTAGTTACTAATTTACTTGGTAACCTAATTACCTAGTTACTAATTTACTAGGTAACCTAATTACCTAGTTACTAATTTACTAGGTAACCTAATTACCTAGTTACTAATTTACTAGGTAACCTAGTTACCTAGTTACTAATTTACTAGGTAACCTAGTTACCTAGTTACTAATTTACTAGGTAACTAGGTTACCTAGTTACTAATTTACTAGGTAACCTAATTACCTAGTTACTAATTTACTAGGTAACCTAGTTACCTAGTTACTATTAAACGTGTATATTTCAGGGAGGACTTAACTGGTTCGTTTAGTCACGTGCCGTCAGGAAAGCAGGAGTCTTATATTGTCAGATCAGACTTCAACAGAACAACATGTCCCTACCCAGACCATAAAACCAAAGACACCTTTCTTTAAGCATTTGTTATTTATACTTTTATATATTAGCTGGACAATTTGCAGAGGGGTATTATTTGGAACTGTTTTGTTACTTGTGTGAGGGGTTGCGTGTATGATTGAGGAAGTATATTGGTAATATTAATACCCTTCAGTACATCTACATGTACAATTACACATTAATCCCTTACTCCTTCATAAATCTAACCAAGTATGGAATCGACCCTTTAGAAAACGGCCTAAATTATGGGTTTTGAGGTACATCAACACAAAATTCTGGAATTAAGAAAAAGTTCAAACGATTGTCTACAGACCAGTTTTTAATTTCGTATTTTCGATATTCAGAAGTAAAGTTATGAACCGTTGAAAAATATTGATTTCATCATACAATAGAAATAAAATTTCAAACAATAATTCTGACACCCTACTGTACATTGTAGTGTACAGTAAACATAGTACTATATGATTGAAGAATTATTATATTAGTAAGCATTGAACTGCAATTGAATCACCGTTGGACAATTATTTTTCGTTATTTCATTTAAAACGATTGATTTTGATGAAACTATAATGTTTTTTAATGATAAAACGATTGAATTTGATTAAATACGATCATAGATTTGAATTCTGCGAGACTGTGTATCTTTCTCCCTCAATAGGTTAACAGTGAACGTAAAGTTTCACAAAACTGAAATTGTAAAAAGTCTATCATATCATGAAAATCTAGAGAAAGAAATGTTATACAACGATTCGTGGTGAGTGACAAACAAACGCTATTAGAATTTGAATAACGTTCTGGCCGAGTCACATGATGATTTTATAATTCTGATCTCTTATGTTCATATTCTGCTTCTAACTGACCAAGACTTGGAAAACACAACCAGTCAGTGGGGTCCAACAACCCCACTTAACTTTAAGTAGTAAAAATGTTAGTAAAAATGATTATGAAAATGATTAAAGATGTGTGTGAGCCATGTAGTAGATCTATTAACATTGGACAACCTTTACTAGAGTGTGAAAACTGTAATAATGCCATCCATACTAAGTGTTTCAAATCAACTAAATATTCATGCAAAAATATCTGTATGGGGTGGGGCCACGAAGCAACGTATAAGCTCACTATTTACTGCTCAGGGTACTGTCCGGTGATACTGATAGGCTGGAATACCTTGATAAGTTTAAGACTTGTGCTCGTATTAGGCCTATAGGACACCAGAAACTTGACCAAAAATTGTTCATAAAAGAGCACACTAAACCGATATTCAAGCATAATAATATCCAAAATCTCTATACTGTTATCTCGAGCTCTACAAGATATTTAAATTCCGTGCTCCAATATCCCTACATAAGGGTTACACATGTTCGACAAGGAAGCCCTGCCTACTTATCTGTCAGGCAGACCCACCTGACAACCACAATACTAGATCAACCAAAATATTTAACATTTTAACCCCAACGCTTTTTTAAAATAATTATTTTCCAAAAATTAAAACTGGCTGGCCACACACATCTAAACTAATTTCCCCTAGGCTAGTGTTTTCCAAGTCTTGTCCTGTGAGTAAAGTATGTGTGAGAATGTTTTGATAAAATAAAAACTTTCTCACACATAGAAAAAGTTCTGTTTCAACAAGACTGCAATCCTTAGTAACAACACTTTATTTGTCCCAACAATTTGTATCTGGTTCAAGTAAGAGCCTTGTCTCCAAAAACTCATCTGGACTAACGTTTCGGTGTGTGCAAAACCTTTCAAGCCCGCACTTTCCTTGCCCCGTTAGTTGCCTGTCCGTTTAGTACAACCTAATTAGCAGTCAAGGCCAGAAAGTCATACTCCAGATGAGCATTATATTTTCATTGTTATAAATTTGTTGATTCTGTAAAATTTGCTAAAATTAAATTTCTTGTTTCATTAGAATAGGACCTGTCGTGATATCATGGATCGCTTAGGTTCCACCAGGATTTGGTAGTCCTCATAATTCTGCGGCCTCTATGTATCGTTATCTCGCACGGCCACAACTCCTTAAGAATCTTATGAATTTGGCATGTGAAAATGTGCAGCCTTCCAGGCATCGATTGGGTCAACGAGGTGTCGTACGTCACCTCAAGAACGGGTAACAGGGAGCTGACCAGGTCATAACCCAGTTGATTGGGTCCGAGGTCACGTGATTAATCTGATTATGAGCCTGAGATCACGTGACTATGACGTCACCAGAGCTTGTTCTCCGTTTGTCGCTCATTGGACCAGGTTTGCTTGCATGCTTGTGAATGTGAGTGTAAGTAGAGCTATACTGTAGTTTATATCTAATTACCCTCTATAGAAACGCAGATTTATTTTCTTACAGAAAGCTAGAAATTTACCAAAATATCGACCTTATCATAAACTTATTTTGATGACTATTCCTGACCTAAAATTGCACGAGAAATCGATTAAACTTGGTTTCAGAACACAACAATGCCTCCTTATGGCTATGCTTTAAAACCCATGTTTTACCAATACAATCAACATTTTGATACTTTTGATTTATTAATAACAGGTAACAAATACGCAGAAAAAACCATCACACCTACATTGCATTCTTAACGGGTCGATTTCGAGTGACCAATAATCATCGTAATGATACGTCATGTATTCCTGATCATCATCAGCAATCAATAGACAGGAGCGGCGGTTGACAACGAAAATAGCGTCAACCATTGATTTAAAGCAACCGCCAGTCCTTAGTGCACTACATATTCTGTTATATTAGCAATTTTCATGACAGAGGTTGCAAAAAGGGGATCATCTTAAATTTAGTCGATCTCTCGGGATGAAATTGAAACATACGAAGGATATGGTATGAAACCAACCGTCACTTTGTGTTACTTATCGAGTCCTCCCCCTTGAATTCCACATCAATACTAATTATGCCGGTTGGATTGATTGACCTGGACTGTAGAACAACGTCAATATCTCCTGAGATACTGCAATAGTTGTCAACTTTAAACTTCAAAAACAATAGACAAATTCCTGAGAAGCTGCAACAGTTGTCAACTTTACACTTCAATAACAATAGACTTACAATTTCTATGATAGATTGATAGACCGCGCATTTCTAATTCTAATCCTTTGTCCTTCAGTGCCAGTTTGCAGTTCTTCATACTTTTTTGTTGTCCTTAAATTTTAACTTCATAAGAGAAGTGCAGATTAAGATATAATTTTTTCGAAAAACATTCAAGGCAAAATCTTTTCTACTATCATATATTGCAAAAATTTAAATTAACTTCGGATACAAGTTGTACATTGTACAATTATACTTTTTAATATATAGTAGCTAATATCACGCAGTCTTAAAAAACCGCGTTATAAAATAAAAAAGATACTTGACTTTTCAAACATTGTTCCAACAGTACCTTTTAATCTATCATTAGCATGCATTTGTACCGGCCACAGTTTTTTAGGCAGTGTAAGGTATGCTCTTACCCATATCAACAGTTATCACTTTTCAATAACCTTTCTGATCCATCTGCAGACCTGATTTTAAATCAGTGGTTTACGTTATTTTTGTGAATTCGACCCCTGTTGAAACGGTTATCACACTTTGTAACTGCATATGTATTGAGGATAGCTTAACAAATAAAAGGATCAGTAAATAAAATTGCCACAAGTGTGAAGTGTTTCTCTCACTCACTTTCGATAAGACATATTGGAAATTCTTACTTCCATAATATTCGGAATTTTTTTAACGCCGAAGAATATCGGAATTTTATCTTCAGACTGAAGTGTAGCACAGTTCAACTACCATACTATAAGTTATATCTTGATATCTTGATACAAGCCAGCAAGGTATATTGTCCTTGATACAAACAAACTACAGTGAAATTCTTATTTAGAACGGCCTTCTTTTACTTGAACATTTACAAATTGAAATTTAACAATTTGGATCATATGAACTAAACAATTCTCGCTCTTTTATGTGCGTTATAGTTAAACTGTGCATCAAAGTTTAACTACGCTTAAACTACAAGACTACAGGAGGAATGTTGGATAGGAATGTTGAGGAGGAGGAATGTTGAGACAAAATATGATCAGCACAGCTGTCCTTGTACAACTGCTCCACTTCCAGTTCACTAACATTCAGTTCTCTTTCAGTTTAAGTTCTTTGGGGGGTAATTAGATATAAACTACAGTACAGCTGAACTTACACTCACATTCACATACATTCACAAGCATGCAAGCTCACCTGGTCTGATGAGCGGGAAACGGAGAACAAGCTCTGGTGACGTCATAGTCACGTGACCTCAGGCTCATAATCACCTCAGACCCAATCAACTGGGATATGATCTGGTCAGCCCCCTGTTACCCGATCTTGAGGTGACGTACGACACCTCGTTGTCCCAATCAATGTCTGGAAGGCTGCAAATTTTCACATGCCAAATTCAGAAGATTTTTAAGGAGTTGTGCTAGATGCTCATGCCGGTACATAGAGGCCGCACAATTATGAGGACTACCAGATCCTGGTGGAACCTTAGCGATCCATGATATCACAACAGGCCCTACTGATTTTTGTCGATATCTCTACAAATAAGCATTGACCATTGAGAGCTTAAATTGCTTCTTAAGTTGTAGATAATTGTGTAGATAATTGTGACTTTTGCGGTTGTTTTAAGCTAAGATTCGAGTCCCTAAGACCTTCCTAGCTCGAGTTACCAAAATCGAGTGCTATTTTTGGCCCGCTGAGACAGTTTTTGTCGATATCTTTTAAACAAAGCACTGGAGACATTATATTGCTTTATGACTTGCATATAAATGTGGCTTTTGCAGTTATTTTAAACTAAAATTCAAGTCTCTGGGACGTTTAGGGACTGAGATAAAATTGCCAAAATTTACCTCATTTTACCTCATTTGGGCAGCCAAAAAGGGCAAAATTGGGATGAGGTAAAATGAGGTAAAGTGAGGTTGCCCATAGGCTTCAGCTTTTTTAATTTACTTGCTCTAATGATAGCTCCAAGATAGCTAAAGATGCTAGAATGTTGATTTTACAGAATCACCACAGCTAATAATTCTAAAATAAATAAATATATCTCCTGAGCTACTTTTATGACTTTTGATTAGTTACTTGAATTGAAGAGTTGTGAAATTAACATTAAATTTGGCCAACACTAGCTAAATGAAATTATTTTAACACAGTCTACAGTTCACCTGATACGCTTTTACCAAATTTAAGATATCACCTGTAGCTTCTTAGCAAAGACGTTTTGGTGAAGTTCAATTTCATTATATATCTCTAATATATTTTGTTGACCGAAACTACATCGAATAAAACTCCAAGTGCGTTCAGCATCTCAACTTTTAATTAGCCAATGCTTGTTGCCATAGCTTTCATAACGCCATACTTTTATTTTAAACCATTAACAGCGGTTTAACACAAAGGTAGCATGCTACTCTTTCTTCTGTCAATCCTATATTGGAAAGCAACCTGTGAGGTTTTCAGCTCTTATGAGGACCTTAGAAACGCCAATAAGATAGAAGATCATTTGGTGACATTGCTCTCTGAATATATTCACAATGAAAGAGAACGACTCGACACTTTGGAAAGGTTTAATCAGCATGTTGAGAACGGTAAAGACTACACGGATCCTGGTGACAATTACATAAGCTATCCTACCAATCAGTTTAATGTAATACACAGATTCGTTGCATATTGGAATAACCTAGAAAAATGGACAAAGAGTAGAAACGAAGACCTATCTTCAGTATTCAGAGAATACAAACAATTCTTTCCTGGACAGGAGGATGTCGATGGAGCAATAAAGGCTATACACCGTCTTCAGGATATTTACAAAATTAAAGCAAGTCACTTCTCTAGAGGGGACCCTTTAGTTCCTGAAGAGGGTTCTGGCAGGGGAGAACCTTTAAACGAGAAAGCTCTTCTGTTATTTGTAAAAACTGCCTACGAAAGTGAACAGTGGTTTAAGTGTGCAGGTTGGGCACAGCAAGCATATTACCAAATACAAACCCTTAAGCAATACAATCCCCCCACTTCAACTATGTGGTTTGAAATTGCAGACTATTTCTCATATTGTTTATACAAGGCTGGAGAAATACAGCATGCCATTGAGGTAACAGCTGACATTTTAGTTCACTACCCTCATGACCAACGCATTTTGGGAAACTTGGAACACTTTAATATCATCAGGAAAGAAAGACATATTAAAGATCAATCTACAAGCAAGAGAAGTGTTATTTCTGAACCTTTAGTGAATCTTGGTGAAGTAGAAGAAGAGGAAGTGGAGGTGACGTTTATTCCTAAATTATATCCGGGAGCAGACGAGACAGTCTTGACATGGGAGGACATTGAGAATGACATACAGGACAAATTCAACACAAATCGAGTAAGAAGGATGAAGAAATATAGGAAAATGTGTAAGGAAAATCCACCTCTCACTCCAAAGATGAAGAAACAGGTAGACGGACTCACATGTTATTACAAGCAGAATACGCCTAGGAGCTATTTAAAACCAATTAAGGTTGAAGTTGCATGGCCGTCTCCCCGTATCTTACTATTTCATGACATTATTAATGATGAAGAATCAGACATCCTGATAGGCCTTGCTAAACCCCTCCTGCGACGAGCTACTGTCTATAACAAGAGTACAGGAAAAGGAGAAAGTACCGAGAACAGAGTAAGTAAGACAGCTTGGTTATACGATAACTTAGCTAAAGACAAGGAACAGATTGTTCGCAGGGTGAATCGCAGAATGGAAGATGCAACTGAACTGAGTCATGAGTATGCTGAACCTCAGCAGGTCAATAACTATGGTATGGGGGGTCAATATGAACCACACTACGATATGAGTACTCTCTACGGTCAGGAAGTTCAGAAGCGTAACCCAACTGTGTCAGGTAATATCACAGCCACCATGTTGGATCGCACAGCCACCATATTGGTGTACTTACGTGAACCAGATGCAGGAGGTGCTACAATATTTACGGATAGTGGTGCCAGGTTAGTTGCTAAAAAGAATTCAGCAGCATTTTGGTACAATATTTTACCAAACGGTGATCCCGACCTGATCACCCGGCATGCTGGTTGTCCTGTTTTAGCCGGTACGAAGTGGGTCATGAACAAGTGGTTCCACCATAACGATCAGATCTTCACTCGCCCTTGTGATGTACAGCAATTCAAACGAGAAAAAGAATCAAAACTATACAACGGGAAGTATACTGTTTGATTAATTTGTATGGAAATCTTACGGAAAGCATAAAATAGTGTTTAAGTTTTTGAATATATAGTTTGCAAGCTGTAGTGCTAGGTTGACAGTATAGCTTATCTTCTAACCAATAAATTCATGAACTAGTTTTTTGTTGGTTTTCAGTATTTTACCCTTTAATTTCATATCGTTCCTGCATATTGTTGGTCTTTAGATAAAAACAGATTCTTTTAGTTTTCAAGATTATAAATTATCAATCTCTTATTTCACTGTTTATTTTGTTCAATAAACTGCATATGTATTGAGGAAAGCTTTACAAATAAAGACACACTTATTTGTGTCTTTGTCCAGTAAGACACATTGGAAATTCTTACTTCCATAAGATTCGGAATTTTTTTAACGCCAAAGAATATCGGAATTTTATCTTCAGACTAAAGTGTAGCACAGTTCAACTACAATACTATAAGTTATATCTTGATACAAGCCATCAAGGTATATTGATACAAACAAACTACAGCGAAATTCTTATTTAGAACGGCCTTCTTTTACTTGAACATTAATTACAAATTTAAATTTAACAATTTGGATCATATGAACTAAACAATCATCGCTCTTTTAGTTTTTACAGGGTGCATCACAGTTTAACTACGCTTAAACTACGAGACTACAGATACAAGTAAGCAGACAAGGAGGAATGTTGAGACCAAATATGATCAGCACAGCTGTCCTTATATAGCTGCTCCACTTCCAGTTCACTAACATTCAATTAGATATAAATTACAGTACAGCTGTCTTACACTCACATTCACAATCATGCAAGCTGACCTGGTCCAATGAGCGGGAAACAGAGAAGGAGCTCTGGTGACGTCATAGTCACGTGACCTCAGGCTCATAATCACGTGACCTCAGACCCAATCAACTGGGTTCTGGCCTGGTCAGCTCCCTGTTACCCGATCTTGAGGTGACGTACGACACCTCGTTGTCCCAATCAATGTCTGGAAGGCTGCACATTTTCACATGCCAAATTTATAAGATTCTTAAGGAGTTGTGTGAGATGACGATACATATAAGAGGCCGCAGAGTTATGAGGACTGCCAGATCCTGTTGGAACCTAAGCGATCCATGATATCACGACAGGCCCTAAAGCACCAATTATATCAATATTTTATGTATAATTTGAGGTGATAATTAAACTAACGACAGATGTTCTCAGACTTTAGATTGATCATTTTATTGACTGTCTAGGTTCTGCTTCATTAAGCATCGCGCGGAGTCATGGATAATGAAAATGTCGAGTAAATCAAAAACATTTATTTCGAGTTCTAGATCACTCCAGACGTGTCAAATACCAATGACGATGTGTTATCAAGCTCGTTAGAAAACAAATTCTTAGGCAATATTCAGACAACTTTTAATATATATGTATAATGTACATATATATATATAATTTTGGAGAATAATGGTTCTGTCCCTGACTTGATTCAAAATTGGAGTTAGTTCATTCTTCCAGACCGTCAGTTACATTTTGTCAAAGTCTTTGTTAAAATATGTTCGTTTTTTTCCAAGGATGTCAAAATCGGAATCATTTATGGGTTCTTTTGCGATAGTCAAAACGCGACAACTAGCGCTGGATGGCGACAACTAGCGCTATCCAGCGCTAGTTGTCGCCATCCAGCGCTAGTTGTCGCTATCCAGCGCTGGATAACGCTGGCCAGCGCAAAATATATATGTTCAATAATTGTCGCTATCCAGCGCTAGTTGTCGCCATCCAGCGCTAGTTGTCGCCATCCAGCGCTAGTTGTCGCTATCCAGCGCTAGTTGTCGCTGGCTATGCGACACTATCGCACGCGATAGTTTGTGATGGCCAGCGCAACTGGCCATCGCAGAAAACAGTTCGATAACTAGCGCTGGATAGCGACAACTAGCGCTGGATAGCGATAACTAGCGCTGGCCAGCGCTGGCCAGCGCTAAGCGATAGCCAGCGATGGCCAGCGCTGGCCATCGATATCCAGCGCAAAATTTTTGCGCTATTACTCGTCAGCTAGCGTCAGCTAGCGCTAACCAGCGCTAACCAGCGCTAGCCAGCGCTAACCAGCGCTAGCCAGCGCTAACCAGCGCTAGCCAGCGCTAGCTGACGAGTAATATCGTAACTATATTGCGCTGGCTGACGAGTAATACTAATATCAAGCGTGCTAAATCACTCTACAGTCGATCTTCGAGATTGTTCTAAAAGGGCCCCCGATGGTTGTGTCCAACTTCAATCGATGTATTTTCGGACGCTAATTCCGAATCAACCCCCATGGGCCCATGACATAGGGTTAAAATGCTCTCCTGACGAGATATTGGCGAAAAACTGTACATGTATCGATCACGTGATATGACCGTATAAGGAAGTTAGTCTAATTTCTCGTTATTGTTAGGGTTTCAGCATATGTTTTTGTTAAGGATTGGGTTAGGGTTAGGGTTGGGATCAGATTAGCAATTAGAGGGTTGGGGTTTCGAAATTAAGTCGTTCAGAACCAGCTAGAGTCAGAGAATGGGTTAAAAAAGGCACGTGACAGTCAAGTGTAAAGTGATTAATCATCATCCGAGTAATATCGGCATCGCAAGTATATGATTTTGATACATTGCGCTGGCTAGCGCTGGTTACCGCTGGCTAGCGCTGGCTAGCGCTGGATAGCGACAACTAGCGCTGGCTAGCGCTGGCCAGCGCTGGCTAACGCTGGATAGCGACAACTAGCGCTGGCTAGCGCTGGCCAGCGCTAGCTGACGAGTAATAGCGCAAAAATTTTGCGCTGAATATCGATGGCCAGCGCTGGCCAGCGCTGGCTATCGCTTAGCGCTGGTCAGCGCTGGCCAGCGCTAGTTGTCGCTATCCAGCGCTAGTTGTCGCTATCCAGCGCTAGTTATCGAACTGTTTTCTGCGATGGCCAGTTGCGCTGGCCATCGCAAACTATCGCGTGCGACAGTGTCGCATAGCCAGCGACAACTAGCGCTGGATAGCGACAACTAGCGCTGGATGGCGACAACTAGCGCTGGATGGCGACAACTAGCGCTGGATAGCGACAATTATCGAACATATATATTTTGCGCTGGCCAGCGTTATCCAGCGCTGGATAGCGACAACTTGCGCTGGATGGCGACAACTAGCGCTGGATAGCGCTAGTTGTCGCCATCCAGCGCTAGTTGTCGCGTTTTGACTATCGCAAAAGACCCCATTTATGTACAATGTACAGCATACGTAGTTCTTTGCCAAGCAAAATTACAACAACAAGCTTAACGTAAATTTATAAAAGTACAAACACAACTGTAGTAGTGAATATTCCATATTCATAAAAACATGCATATTATTTTGCGAATAATCTTTGATTGTTAACTCGGTTTCGTGTCGCGCTGAAGATTTTCGTATAAAGTAAAACACTAATTTACCGTGGAGTTTGGGGAAAGGAAACCGCTGCAGTAAATTTGTGTTTTAAGCTGTACCGTATACTGTAGTCTCTGCTTTGTTGTCGTTACCGTATAACTATAAGTTTACAGAGCACTTGGATTAATCATAATGGGAGTAAATTATGAACAATGAATGTTGCGGATGCAGGTGCTCGTCATAAGACTTCCCTCAGTAACATAAACAACAGCTTTGTCTCGGTCGGCCTTGCTGTGCTCTACCATGCAAAAGTTCCCAATACGATATCACTGGTAAGTAGCTCATTGCTCAAGATGTCTCATGATGCAGATACACGCGATGAGTACGTGTGCACATTGTGTGGCAGCATGATATTACCACCGTGGCACTGTACAACTTGTTAAACACTCAATATCATCTACTTTATGATTTTCAAACTTTCTTATAGTTGTCCTGTTCGAGAACGTGCTGCGTTATTTCACAGCTTTTGATTTTTGTCGCACTTATAATGTTTTATTATTTTATTACTTAAATAATATGTATACGATGAACGGAGGAGAATGATTTAATTCAGTAAAACTTCACAAATCCTGTCTATTCGTGTTATTGGATCGCATTAAACGGGTTGAACGTAGCAGTACTAAGTACGTACACGCCTGTAACTTTTTTTAGAGAGATCTGAGCCGTAGCTGGAAGTGGATCAATAGTTTTACAGATTTTATGAAATTAAAATCATTTCACATTCGATCTATGTCGGCAAAACGGTAATCGAAAGTTGCAGCTAACCAACAATTTGCTTTCCGTTTAGATTACATTGTCACCTAACTAATTTATCTGAATTTGATAAACTCCAAAATTTGTTATTTACACTTAAAGATTAGTCAAAATAGTTTGTATTAAAAGAAGCCCAGTAAATATAGTGACCTAATTTAGGGAAATTGACTTTAATCGGCGCATGTTTGCCGTATGCCGGTATGCTGTGAAAACAGGCCCGGAAAATAATTACATAATTTATCTTATGTCTGCCAGACAAAATTATTTCAGTTGTGAGCTTTGTACGGTGCATATTTGACATCGTAATTTTGTTCAATTTGGCTGTATTTTCACTTATACAAGCGTATTTCCCATATACGTTCACTAAAAAGGGAAACAACCCATTTCTAACTTTTTAATAATGGTTGCACACATTCCAAAAAAACCGTTGTACCGTTGTGTATCTTGAAAATAATTAATTTAAAGACTTGTGTTGAAAATTACCTGCAATGCATCTACCAACTAAATTAATTACACCGGGGATATTGCAAAGTTTCTTCGAATCGGCTGACTAAATTCATTATATCGGAGTAATTGTAAGAAATATGATATCGGTCCCCTATATAGTAGTCTATAGGTATAGTGGTACTGTGTAGGATGATTACTAATACTACTACTCAACATTGCATTAGTTGTAGATTTAACTTTTAAGTTATCTTTACGTTAAACTTGCAATAATACGTTAAAAACGTGGTATAATGTATAATGTATATTGTACTACCCTACTTTTTATTCGTGCCGTATATCAGTAACCACCTAATTGCGATTTAAAGCTGTGTACAAAATATATAATGTATATCGTAATTACTAGTCGTATCGTGGTAACTCTCTAAAGAGCATTATCTACCGTTGCTGTTTCTATATACTGGCTACATACAGTGTACATTTTACAAATGTACAGTATACCTACATATTTGCATGTAGTTGTGCTAATGGTTGTAATGATTCTAGAAAGCAATTTGTTTGTTTTTGGCACACGAATTTTACTGTATTCATCTCCAAAATGAGCATCAGTTTGTCGATATCTGTAATTCTCGAAGCATCAGTTTTTTACTCAAATATAAAGTAGTATATGATTGTGTAGATATTTGAGGTAGTCCTGCCAGAACAGCAGTTAGTTAGCACTAGAAAACTAATTGTAGAATGTGTAATCGGTTGAAGCTAGCGTTTTACAAAGGGACGTTAAAACTAGACCATGAAATTGGGAGATTAGGATCGGTCGTCATATATGAGTATTTGGGGCCAGAATACAGTCACGATAGGCCTGCTACGGTCACCATACAGCATCTATTAGGCCATCATACGGCCTATATAAGGCCACTATAATACAGCCTCTACACGGCCATCACCTCTATAATACGGTCACTATTAATATGGCGTGACCATATTATAATATGGCCACGCTAGACAGCCGGTTATATCAGACCCCTGCAGCACATTTGTCTGCAGAATGTGTCTTTTTAGCACCTTGACAGCAAGCCACTATACGGCCACTATACGGCCACTATACGGCCACTATACGGCCACTATACGGCCATCATACGGCCATACTAGACAGCCGTAGTGTAATATGGTAAGCTGGTTGCAGCAGTTTTAACGTAGTCATATTTTAGGCTTTTTAGATCTTTTAGAATATTCTAGTATAAGTGTTAAATAACCGTTAGGATTAGTGTAAGATTAGATTAAATTAGTGTAATAGATTATGGATGGTTTTGCGGAGGAAGACACGTGTTAGTCAGGTTAGCTAGTTAAGTTAGGTTATTGGACAGACTGGGCCGCGCGGTATGTGTCTTTTTAGCACCGGCCTTGACAGCAGGTAATCTGTTTTGAAATCTCGGACTTCTGTTCAACTCCCCACTGGTAGTACCACATCTGATAAAGAGACCTGGGCGATCTAAAATACGTTTTAACCGCGTCGTTGCATTAATAATAATTAATACTTTTGAGTTTCTTTTTAGTAGTTAGCACTCGAAAACTAATATAGAATGTGTTTTACAAAGTTTGAGGCTAGTGTTTTACAAAGTAAGGATAAACTATGATCAAACTGGAAATTGGGGGATTAGGTTCGGCTATATCAAACGGGCTACGACCACTATGGGGCCATCATACTGCCACTATACGGCCATTATACGGCAACTATACGGCCACTATACGGCCTCTATACCGCCACTATACGGCCACTATACGGCCATTATACGGCAACTATACGGCCACTATACGGCCACTATACTGCCACTATATGGCCAACATACGGCCACTATACAGCCAAGGTGCTGAAACGATGGCAGGAACAATAGAGGAGAGAATAGAGGATATACTTCGAGCCACTATACGGCCACTATACGGCCACTATATGGCCACTATATGGCCACTATATGGCCACTATACGGCCATCATACGCCCTCTATACGGCCACTATTATACGGTCACTATATGGCCACTATATGGCCACTAAACGGCCATGCTAGACAGCCGGTTATCTCAGACCTCTGCAGCAAGTGTGTCTTTTCAGCACCTTGACAGCAGGTAATCTGTTTTGAAATCTCAGACTTCTGTTCAACTCCCCACTGGTAGTACCACATCTGATGAAGAGACCAGTGTCCTTTGTAATTCTCATATTAACAGCTGTGCTAATTTGTGGTTCCCACCTTCAATTTACAATATCACCTGTTTCTGAAGTATAATATAAGTGAACAATAAGAATCTCACATACTGTATCTGGGCGATCTAAAATATGTTTTAACCATGTCCTTGCATTAATAATAATAAATACTTTTAAGTTTCTTTTTCGGAAGTAGCTTTTGGATTTAATAATACATTTCGACATCGTTATTCTAAAAATACCTCAACGAGACTTCAAATTAACGAGTACTGTATTTGGTGACCTCGCCGGAAGTTGGCAATTTCTCATCTTATTTTCTGATTTTATACCGTTTACATAATTATTAATTAGTGAGATTTACATGAGATAAAATGAAATAATTTGACGCTGTTCAGATGAGTCATATTTCAAGCTTTAAAATATGATAATCGTGCGATATTATATCATCAAGTTTGGGTTACAGTGTAGGGTTGTTTTATTGCAAAATGTGGGTCATTCTGGTAACGGAATATTGAAAACAATAGTCGGGTCAATTTCCTTTCGCCATACTCCTAAACGTTTATGAAGGAGCACAATTTAAATTGGTATAGCCATGGAAATGAGCATCTCTAAGCAGTTTAAATAGGGAAATTGTAAATTTCATTGTTACCAGCTGCTGCTACCATTTACTCTTTTTGACTCTCTCACCTTAAAATAGCGAAATTAAATAATTAGTTTGTACATTTACAAGTTGTTCTTGCAAGATCGTGTCACGTCATCAAATCATCTTACTATATATACATATATTTTATATATAATATGTACTATACAAAAAGTCATAACAAATTTCATAACAAAATTAGTTCATACGACGACAAACTTTTATAGTAAATACCGTACAGTCCTAAAACTACTACAAGACTAAATATACTACACCGACACATGATACAGAAGCATGTAGGTATGTATCTAGTGTGGAGTGAAAGTGGTTTTTTAGTTACAAGTACATAATAACAGGGTGTAACATGTTTTATACTTTACAGACAGGGGATCGTCTACACATGTAGTGATATTTAGTGATATTTATAGGTTTTGTTTACTTTCTGAGTAGTACAGGGACCACATCTCACACACGCACACTTCCGCCTCGCATTCAACACACTTACCCTTAACCTCAATCAAACCATATTTGGCTCTCACGTTTCGCACTTCTCATTGGTCAGTACCATTCCCGCCATTTTCACTCCACACTAGATACATACCTACACACTTCACTTCATGCACCTGTTCACCGTTGTAGCATTCCATGCTTCTGTATCATGTGTAGTATGTATATTTAGTCTTGTATTAGTTTTAGGACTGTACCGTTTGTACTATAAAAGTTTGTCGTCGTATGAACTAATTTTGTTATGAAATAAATTAATGTACACAAATTTTGCCTCAGATATATGTTTTTTACGTTTTGAATTTGTAACATTTGTTTTTAGATCATGAATACGATGTAGTTACATTGAAACGTCGAGTAAACTCATTTTCCTTAATAAGAGCATGTTTACCTGTCGCAGTAACCGGGATTTCTCATATAATTTGCACGTGGGCGGTCGTACAGATATACAAAGATAATCTTCCGAATTATAATTAAGATAAAATGAGACCTAATGATACATATGTATATCTGATACCATTTTAGCATTTTATTGACACAACGACATCCTCCCCTCCTCCCCTCCTCCCCTCCTCCCCTCCTCCCCTCCTCCCCTCCTCCCCTCCTCCCCTCCTCCCCTCCTCCCCTCCTCCCCTCCTCCCCTCCTCCCCTCCTCCCCTCCTCCCCTCCTCCCCTCCTCCCCTCCTTCCCCTCCTCCCCTCCTCCCCTCCTCCCCTCCTCCCCTCCTCCCCTCCTCCCCTCCTCCCCTCCTCCCCTCCTCCCCTCCTCCCCTCCTCCCCTCCTCCCCTCCTCCCCTCCTTCCCTCCTCCCCTCCTCCCCTCCTCCCCTCCTCCCCTCCTCCCCTCCTCCCCTCCTCCCCTCCTCCCCTCCTCCCCTCCTCCCCTCCTCCCCTCCTCCCCTCCTCCCCTCCTCCCCTCTTCCCCTCCTCCCCTCTTCCCCTCCTCCCCTCCTCCCCTCTTCCCCTCCTCCCCTCTTCCCCTCCTCCCCTCCTCCCCTCTTCCCCTCCTCCCCTCCTCCCCACTCTTACAACTAACACCCCGTAAGTAGGCAGGTAAGATGGCAGGAACAATAGAGGAGAGAATAGAGGAGATACTCCGAGCGCTGAAGGGACGTCACCCTGGTCAGGAGGAGTTCATGCAGGCTGTAGAGGAGGTGCTGGTGTCTCTGAAACCTCTCTTTGAGAACCAGGGAGAGGAGGATTACCTGGGAGCCTTCAGTGGTAAGTGGGGTGTACTATATGTGTTAGGGTCATCTTAAACTGTCAGACAATGAACTGTCGGTGCAAATTTCACGTTTTTTAACACTGTGTTGGTAGAAGTAATACGGCATTTCTGATTTCTGACGTCGATCATAAATTTGAAATGTCTTAAAATGTAATTTAGCAATCTATTTCCTCAGTGATTGCTGAGCCGGAGAGAGTGATCAAGTTTAGAGTACAGTATCCAACCTTCGGACCTGAAGGAGCCGAATTACACACTACAACTGGTGGGTGCTATTCTGTTTTTAGGAGTAAATTAAATAAAGCATCAAAATCAAAAATTAATTACCACAAGAATTCATTATAAGTTTATGTTTTATTTTTATATATATCGCCCGATTAATAATCACATTTATTATTTATCAGTTATATAGAGGTTAAGAGTAATTATGTATTTTTTAAATCTTTGATAATATTTATTTTTGAAGTAAACATTGGCCAGTAAACAAAGCTGGTCCCCAATCAATCAAACAACGATGCATTGAATTTAGTTTGGAAAATACCACTGAAAATAGTTTTTGGTTGAAGTTAACATGAAACATTGCTTTATCATTGTTATGGAATACATTCACTAAACTTGAGTGCAGTATAGCTGTTTCCAGTCGTAAAGTTAAGCAGGGATGTCAGAGCAAGGATTACGCAGTAAAATTGTAGGTGACCCATCCTGGCTAGGGGTTTCATATTTAGCAAAGTTTCCATATTCATGTTATTATTATGTTGCGAATAATAAATCATGTGATTCTAAGAGAAATTTTCTTTAAATTATTCAATATCGACTATTTCAATTCTTAATTTGTAGTAAATGATGAAAATAAACTAATCAAATCAACTATTGAACTGCTCTATTAGTATTATGGTAAGTATTATGGTAAATTTAATGGTACTGTATAAGTAGCAGTGAAAAGAAGAGCAAACGGCACAGCTGTATTAGTGTGTTAATGAACGAATTGTAAAGTTCTATCAGCCTAATATTCACTGGATTTAACGTTTCCGGCTTATAATTTATTACATAATAATGTGAGATAATATTACTAGGTTCGTTGCAATTAGCAACTTCTTATCATGGTCGTTCCTCATATTCAAAGAATATTATTTATTCGCATAATAATATGAGGCAATTCAGTAGTGTGGCATAACACGGTTAAGGCACGGTTAAGGCACGGTTAAGGCACGGTTAAGGCACAGTTAAGGCACGGTTAAGGCACAAGGGTTACATAAGGCACGGTTCTTAAGGCACGGTTAACGCACGGTTAACGCACGGTTAAGGCACGGTTAAGGCACAAACTGCCCAAAAGCAACCATTGTGGTCGCCTAAGGCACGGTTAACGCACGGTTGGGGAAATATAACCTATAAACATACAAGTGGTTAACTAAGGCACATGATCTGAATGTGACGATCTGTAAATTTTACAGTGCGATTCCCGCTATGAATAAATTTTGTAATTGTAAAGCAACAGCCCTGCTTCGTTTGACCGTCCTATATTTGAAATCCTTATCTCGATTAACGATCTCTTCAAGTAACAAGGCTCTTCAAATTTAGTTAACATCTCTTAGAGTTGTATATAAACGCAGCTTTATTCAACACAACCATCCCATCTTTTCATTGTCTACTCTTAAAAATACTACTACTTTACTCACCATGGTAACTCGAAGAGGAACTCGACACTCTGCTGCCGCCCCCATCCCTAAATGCCTTCACTGTGGCGCTAGTGGCCATATTGCCACCATATGCCCAAGGACTACCAACACTCCTACCCCTCCTTTCCTGACCTGTAACCACTGTATCCGGACTTGCAGAAGTGGATGGAGCGACGAGCCAGAGGGTCATCAGATGATCGTTGTAGTCGATCCCTGTCAAACACACGCTACTCCTGTAGTCAGACCGACAAGATCCAACCCTGCACCTACAAATTCTCGTACCACCGCTGTTCGTCCTACCAGACCTCCTCCTCCTCCCACACCTATTGTTCCTGCTTCCAATACCAACGCCGCTCCTACCGCTCCTACCGCTCCTACCAGTTTGTGCCTTAACCGTGCCTTAACCGTGCCTTAACCGTGCGTTAACCGTGCCTTAAGAACTGTGCCTTATGTAACCCTTGTGCCTTAACCGTGCCTTAACCGTGCCTTAACCGTGCCTTAACTGTGCTTCAACCGTGCCTTAACCGTGCGTTAACCGTGTTATGCCACACTACTGGCAATTCAGTAGTGTGCATAACACGGTTAAGGCACGGTTAAGGCACGGTTAAGGCACAGTTAAGGCACGGTTAAGGCACGGTTAAGGCACGGTTAAGGCACAAGGGTTACATAAGGCACGGTTCTTAAGGCACGGTTAACGCACGGTTAACGCACGGTTAAGGCACAAACTGCCCAATATGATAATATGATACAAATTATTGTTAGGGGTCGTTCACATATTACGTAATCAGTCAAGGAGGAGGGGGGTTTCCAAATGATTACGCTAGTGTAATTTTAAATTCCATTCAGTCTTTATTCTCTGCTCAAAAGAAAGCTATTCGCGCCACTGATTCAGAATATCATAACTATTTTTACGACAAAGAAAAACGTAAACTACCATCTCACACAAAATCCATCTTCAACAAAATAGGAATTTTGGCTCTTCCTAATCTCATTGCTAAAAGCTGTCTAACTTTGATGCACAAGGTTTTTATATGGGAGTAGCACCATCGAGTATCTGTAGTATATTTGAAACATCACCGCTTAGACAAACGGAAAGGAGAAATCCAAAGTATTTTGAAATTAAGTTCAACAGATTGCGCATCACCGATTATAGCATCTCTAGACTCTAACGTAGGACCACGATTATATATTATATAACAACACGATGAACGAAATAAATAAAATCCTTCCCTTCAACGTACCTAAGTTACAAGATAAGTTTATTAATTCATACAAGGACAAGATTGTACGTTACTTACTGGACAAACAAAAACTTGACCTAAAAAACCTTTCGTGGACGGACAAGAAATTTGTCCTTTACAACTTTTAAACAAAATGTTAGCTAAATATAACAGCTGTAAGAATCCTGAACGTTAGTGCAGTCAAATAAATGAACTGCGATAATGCATTTGACAGTCAGTCACTGTAATTTATTCTGCAACTTATTTTTCAACTTTCACTGCCACACTTAGGCTTATCTTGCCTACACATTTTTTTTAAACGAAATTCCTTGCGCACTGCGTACTAAAATAACTTGGATTTCTACCGCTTTGATAAAATGACTACAAGAAGATGGGGAGTTAATATTGTTGATTTATATAATATAGATTATTTATTCTTTAGTGTAGATTAACTTTATTTCTATATATTTTACTAAGTGTGAAGGATCAACCATACGTTATTGATATTGTTGACATATTTAATGATAAATTGATATAATGATAAATGATTGTAATATTTTCATTGAGGCACATGCCACCCCATCGCGGGTTTACTACTTTTTACACAATAGCTATATGAAAACTGATTACGGAGAGGGGAGGGGTGTTAAAAATTGTCCAAAATGTGATAACGCATTTTCAAAATTTTACTGACACCAGTACCGATGTCCCACCTGACTATTCCCCTAATGACGATGATTTATCATACACTCCACCCTACCAACCTCCCTCACCCTTTCGAGACCAAAGAACTCACAGTAGAGAAAACAACCTACTGTCCCGAAGAAACAATGGATTCAGCATGACTTCCTCGGTTTCTCGAGCTCAGACCTCCACTCAAGCTCAGAACTCCAACTTCACCAGGACCCAGAACTCCGACTTCACTCGTCAAACTTCAGGATCCACCACGCCCTCAAACGTGTTCAAGACGACCCTCATCTCAGACTCAATCCTGAGACATGTCCAGGGTATGGACACCAAGAATGCCCTCGGAAAGAACCATGAATTGACCCTAATCAATAAGCGGGACACAGGTGGACTTAAAGACCAACATGTCAAAGACGAATTATTAAGAACACAACCTGATTTCATCTATGTTCACCTAGGAGTCAATGATGCCAACCAACAGTTCGACCTAAGAGTAAGTCTCGACAACATATTTCAATTTTCACTATTTGTAGAGGAATCCCTGATAGGTACAAAGTTATTCTTTTCAATGCCACTAATGACATCTGACAACGAAGCAAACGCAAGGATTGGTGAGATAAGGGATGCAATTTGGGAATTTGTGACCGTGACTAATAAAAACGAACGAAAACCCTTCAAAGAGCGGTCTTTGTACTATAACCCCAACGCCAACTTCATGCATGATAACCATCTGACAGGAGAGTATCACACGAACGATGGAGTCCACCTTTCAACAAGAGGCAAAGAGGTCATTCTAGGAAACTTCCGTCACAGTATCCATGAAATGACAAGATTGCTTCTCAACAAGCCAAAGAAAATCCGCTCTACAGGAGGATTGGAACCTTCTCCTCTTAGTCGAACGTGATTACACTCACATATTATGTTTTCATTTATACACATAATACCATGACTAGAAACACACACAAAAATACACAGGTTTCAATAAATAAAAATAGCATAAAAATACTCTCTTGGAATATCCAATCGCCATCATCAGTAGATGGGAGCAAATTTGAAATAGAATCATTTCAAAATGTTATCAAAGATCATGACTTAGCCTGTCTTCAGGAAATTAGGAGAGAGGTTCACTTGGTAGGATATCGATCAATCTGCAACATAAGGAAAGACGGTAAATCAGGAGGTGTCGGTATCCTCATTAAAAATGAGCTTATTGAAGGGATTGAGTTTATCAAGAATACAGAGTGTTCAGACTACCTAGTTTGTCGACTAGACAAGGATTTCTTTAACCTATCAGAAGATACATTCATAGTTAACGTTTACATTAGACCATTTAATTCATCAGCCTCAAACCCGACTGACAATGGCAAAGATGCTTTAAAAAACATTGAAGACGTTGTGAACGAACTTCGGGAGGAGGGCGAAGTCATACTGTGTGGGGACTTTAACTCTCGTATAGGACAAAAAACGGGTATGATAAGAGAAGACTCAACCAACGTTGTTCCCTTACCAGACGATTATGAGCCTGACAACTTTCTCCCCCGAAACTCACTAGACTCTATCACAAATACTTACGGTACACACTTTCTTAACCTAGTCAAACATAACCAACTCACTATTCTGAATGGCCGTACCCTAGGAGATCTTGTAGGAAACTTCACAAGTATCCAAAAAAATGGGTGCAG